AAATCATCAAACAAGTGTTGGTGAGGGTGTGGAGAAAAGGGGACTCTAGTACACTGCTGGTGGAAATGCAGACTGGTGTAGCCACTATGGAAAACAATATGGTGTTACCTCAAAAAATTAAAAATTGAACTTCCATTTGACCCAGTGACTCCACTTCTAGGAATATACCCTAAGAAGCCTGAAACACCAATCAGAAAGAATATATGTATCCCCATGTTCATAACAGCACTGTTTACAATAGCTAAGATCTGGAAACAGCCCAAGTGTCCACCAGTAGACGAATGGATAAAAAAGGTGTGATACATATACACAATGGAGTACTATGCAGCTGTAAGAAAGAAAGATCTCTTATCCTTTGAGACGACATGAAGGGACCTGGAAAGTATTATCCTAAGTGAAACAAGCCAAGCAGAAAAAGACAAATACCACATGACCTCACTTATTTGTGAAATACAATGAACATAACAATCTGAGGATAGGGTAGACCCAGAAACATGAAAGTAGGATACAGACTGACAACCCTCAGAAGAGGAGGTGGTGGGGGGAGGGAAGAGATAAACCACAGAACTTATATGCATGTATGCATAACCAATGGACATGGATAACAAAGCCGTGGACCGGGGGTGGGGGGTCTGTCAATGGGGTATAAAAGGAGAAACATCTGTAACAAAAATAAAATTAAAAATAAAATAAATAAATAAATATAATAAGATTAAAAAACAATAAAGAAATTACCCTTGTACCACAAATAGGGGAGATGTGACCTCCCCTGTGGACAAAAAGGGGCCACATACTAACCTGACAAGCTCAGGGGAGACCCGTGTGGCATCCTTGAAGACTCAAAGACCTAAAGTTAACCACAAAGGATGGTCTGAAATTAAAACTTTTTAACTAAAAGCAGTTCATGGTGTTTGCTTTGGCAGCACATATACTAAAATTGGAACAAGACAGAGAAGATTGGCATGGCCCCTGCGCAAGAATGACACAAAAATTCGTGAAGCGTTCCATGTTTTTGAAAGATCTCTTACCCTTGGGGATGACATGGAAAGACCTGGAGAGTATTATGCTAAGTGAAATAAGCCAGTCAGAGAAAGACAAGTATACATGACCTCACTCATTTGTGGAATATAATGAACACAATAAACTGTTCAACAAAACAGATCCAGAGACATGGAAATAGGGAACAGACTGACAAACCTCAGAGGAAATGGGGAGTGGAAAGAGATAAACCAAAAAACTTGATATGCATATATGCATAACCAATGGACACACAACAACTAGGTGAAGGCAAGGGTGGGAGCAGGAGTGGGGAAGGGGATATCAATGGGGGAAGGGGAGGGACATGTTTAATACTTTTGACAATAAAGATATATAAAAATCGCCCTGGCAGGTTTGGTTCAGTGGTTAGAGCATCAGCCCATGGACCAGAAAGGCCTGGGTTTGGTTCCCATTAAGGGCACATGGTTGCAGTTTTTCCCCACCCCTGGTTGGGGTCGTGTGGGTGGCAACCACTCGATGTGTGTCTCTCACATTGATGTGTCTCTCTCACATCGATGTTTCTCTCTCTCTCTTGTTCCCTTTCTCCCTCCTGTTCTATTTCAAGATAAATGTAAAAAGTGTCCTTGGGGTGAGGATAAAAAAAAAAGATGTATTAAAATTAATAAAAAAATATGCCCTGGCTGGTTGGTTCAGCGGTTAGAGCATCGGCCTGCAGACCAATAAGTCATGGGTTCAATTCTGGTCAAGGGCACATACCTTGGTTGTGGTGCATCCCCGACCCTGGTTTGGTGGTGCGAGAGGCAACCAGTAGATGTGTCTCTTATCTTATCAATGTTTCTCTTTGTCACTCTCTCTCTCTCTCTTCCCTTCCCTCCCACTCTATCTAATGATAAATAGAAAAATCTTTGGGTGAGGAATTAAACAAACAAACAAACAAATAAATAAGTAAACAAACAAAAGCAGTTTATGACAGGTACTCATGTCCTAGGCGGCCACCTTCCATGACAAAGGTCAATTCTTACCTAAATTGAGCCTGTCTATTGTGTTTTTCATCTACCATATCTTTGGTGCATGGGTCAACGCTCAACCACTGAGCCACACTGGCGGGGCGATCTACCATATCTTTGGAATGTCAAAGTAATTTTCCTTTTTCCTGACCCCTCAAAGCAGAGGCACCACTCTGTGGGGACCATAAATCCCCTCATTGTTATTGAGTTAGTTGTTGACTATTAACCATCCTGTACCCACCTATGTAAAATATGCACGTGTCTATCATTTTACTTTTCATCCAATCCCAGAGGTTTCCCTGCTTTGTTTTCTCCCACCTCCCTAATCTATCACCAATGGATTTCATGTAACCCACTTATGTCTCCTCTTTTTATTGTAAAGTATGAAATAAGGTGCAAAATTGTCATTCTTTAGAGCATTATCTCAATCTGTTGAGATTTCGCTTCTTGGCAATTGTTGAAAGTTTTGGTTCAAATAAACTCATAAAAATTTTTCACAGGTTTGAATGTTTTTTACATTGACATTTACTTGGCACTGTGCAGCAGGATTACAAAGAAGATCACCCAGGACCACCCTTCAGACCCAGACCCAGACCCAGATCCAGTGGTAGGATCCAGCAAAGGGCCCATCGAGCCTGCCCGCTCCTAGCCTATCAGGTGAACTTGGGTGAGTTGTCTCTTGGATCAAGGACCTTTCCTTGCTTGTGGTAGAGGGTCTGACTTTATTTGAGCTGTATTTTTTTTTTTTTTTTCACACTACGATAGTTAATTTTATTTGTTCGAGGACTCATATTGCAAGCATTAACCCCAGCATGGGTTTTGATTCTGTGAGCCCAGATTCACATATTTAGGAAGAGAGAAGCAAACTGTGACCCATGGACATGGGTAGGAACTAAAGGCTCGTGGTTAATCACATTGTAGTTTCTGAATCTCTACAGCCTGGGAGCCTGAAGTCACAGGTCTTTGAGGTCCTTCTGGATGTTCCACAGGGTATCTGCGCTCTTCTTGAGTTGAGCAACCTCATCATCCTTCAGTTTCTGGTTGATAACACTGGTTAATCCCCGAGCATTCAAGATACATGGAAGGTTCAGGAAGACTTCATTCTCAATGCCATACATCCCCTTCACCATCGTTGACACTGGATGAATCCTGGATAGATTTTTCAACATGGATTCAATGAGATCAGCCACACTTAATCCAATAGCCCAGTTGGTGTATCCTTTTAGCTTGATGACTTCATAGGCACTTTCAACCACCATCTTGTGCACTTCCTTCCAGTTCTCACTGTCATTGTCCGTCCCCATTTCTGGATTCAGTTCCTGCAGAGAAACGCCGGCCACATTCACGCCACTCCACACGGCCACACTTGAGTCGCCATGTTCTCCCAAAATCCATCCATGGCAGCTGCTGGGATGAATGCCAAGTTTTTCAGACATAAGATAGCGAAATCTAGCAGAATCCAGATTACATCCACTTCCAATCACACGGTGCTTGGGTAATCCACTCAGCTTCCAGGTAACGTATGTGAGAATATCCACTGGGTTAGAAACCACAATTATGATGCAATCAGGACTGTACTTGATGATCTGAGGAATAATGAACTTGAAGACATTAACATTCCTCTGCACCAGGTTGAGACGACTCTCCCCCTCTTGCTGGCGAACTCCTGCAGTGACCACCACGATCTTAGAGTTGGCGGTCACAGAGTAATCTTTATCGGCCACAATTTTAGGTGTCTGAAGAAATAAGCTCCCATGCTGCAGATCCATCATTTCTCCTTTGAGTTTATCTTCCAAAACATCCACAAGAGCAAGCTCATCAGCCAGAGACTTTCCCAGAATGCTGATGGCACATGCCATGCCAACTTGTCCAACACCCATGACAGTAATCTTATTGTTTGGGATTCCTGCCTTGTCTTCTGCAACCGGTGCAATCAGTTTTTCCTTAAGAGTTGCCATTGTGCCCAGGGGGAGGCTTCCCGGAGCGCAGTACGAGCGGCCGAGAAGACAATGTCTGAGCTGTATTTTTTTTTATCCTCACCCAAGGACATTTTTCCCTTTTTTTTTTTTGTTTAGATAGAGTGGGAGGGAGAGAGAAGGAGAGAGAGAGAGAGAAACATCTACATGAAAGGGACACATCGAGTGGCTGCCACCTGCACGACCCATCCAGGGCTGGGGACAAATTGCAACCGAGATATGTGCCCTTAGTGGGAACCGAACCCAGGTCTCTCTGGACCGCAGACCAATGCTCCAACCATTGAGCCAAACCGGCCAGGGCGAACTGTATTTTTAAATCCTAGAGGTTAAGGGTTGACAGAATCCAGGTTAATTTAAGGTGAGACAGGAAGAAAAATGGGTGGCTGGTTTTGATTTCGGCTCTTCAGTTGGAATTGTTTTCTGAGAGTCTAAGCAAAAAAACCTTTGCTGTATAAATGAGAGCTGAAATAATTCAACTCCAAAGATAAGGGGCAAGCGCTCCCTCCAGCCCAGATCTCAGGTGTTCTTAAGAGACTAAGAACATTTGTAGAGGTGTCAGAGGCCATTCCTCATGACATGCAGGAGCCCCATAGAGAATTTCAACTCCACTGTAATTAACTGACTGGCACCCATAAGGTTTGGTAAACAAGCACCCTAGCCCTTTCAGTTGTTTTATTTATTTATTTATTTATTTATTTATTTATTTATTTATTTATTTATTTTTATCCTCATCCGAGGACATTTTTGCATTTATCTTCAGATAGAGCAGGAGGGAGAAAGGAAGGAAGAGAGAGATAGAGAAACACTGATGTGAGAGAGACACATTGAGTGGTCGCCACCCACACGACCCCAACCAGGGCTGGGGACAAACCGCAACAGAGGTACGTGCCCTTAGCGGATACTGAACCCAGGACTCTCTGGTCCACGGGCAGACACTCTAACCACTGAGAAAACTGGCCAGGGCCCTTTCAGTTATTTTAGATGCTGGGAGAGAAACTGACTCACAAAAGAGGGCTGAATGCGACTCAAGTGGTGAGAGCCTCATGGAGCTGAACCCCTGAGCCGCACACTTCGACCCGCTACATAGCACCCCTAGAAAATTTGCTCAGACTCTGCAGATATCCAAAACACAAACTCTAAAACTGACATGGGAAGTAGTGCCTCCAAGGCTGGAAACTCCCAGACTCCAGCCCCCATTAATACTCCTGGTCCTCTTCCTCGGCGCTGCCTACGGAGCTGGCAGCGATCTTCTACTCGGCACCACGGCTGCCCTCAGATCCCTCGTAAAACCCAAGATTGTCAAAAAGAGGACCAAGAAGTTCATCCGGCGCCAGTCAAACCAATATGTCAAAATTAAGCAGAACTGGCGGAAACCTAGAAGTATTGACAGTAGAGAGCGCAGATGGTTCAAGGGCCAGATCTTGATGCCCAACATTGGTTATGGGAGCAACAAGAAAACAAAACACATGCTGCCCAGTGGTTTTCGTAAGTTTCTGGTCCACAACGTCAAGGAGCTTGAAGTGCTGCTGATATGCAACAAATCTTACTGTGCTGAGATTGCTCTCAATGTCTCCTCAAAGAACCACAAATCCATTGTGGAAAGAGCAGCCCAGCTGGCCATCAGAGTCACCAATCCCAATGCCAGGCTGCACAGCGAAGAAAATGAATAGACAGATTGTGTACACATTGTATTTGTGTTAACAAAACCATAAAATTCTACCAAAAAAATAAATACTCCTGATAGGAAGTCTTTCTTTGCAAATGATTTACAGAAATGGGAAGATTTAATTAGAAATGATATAAACTTAAATGGCCAAAATGCAGTTGTCTTGGTGCCGAAAATAATTTTTGCATGTAAAAATTAGAACAATGCCAGCTCTAAAATTAAACTGAATAAATGAATGGAAAACGTATCTTGACCTGGAAATTAGAAGCTTCTAAGGAGAAGCACAGATAAATTCGTAAAGGAATAAATAAGAAATTTTAGAGACTACTCTGAACTATTCGGAAGCTAATACATGGCTACATCCCATTCTTCCCTGTCCTATCGCTCCCCCACTATATCCTTTGCTCTCTGAGCTTCCTTGTCCGGATTTGTCCTTCCCTTTTATCTCCTCCACTACCACTCCCTATGGGAAAATGAGAATAGGAATTCTAACAGCTCCCTTTGGAGAAAGGGAGCCAGAGAGGAACCAGCAATTGTTCTTGACTTTCTCTGGGACCCTGATGGGTTCACAGAGAAATTTAACTGTTAGAGCATGTAATCCTGGCTGTTTTAACCTAGTCCAATTAATATACCTACTGGTTTCTGGGAGCAAAACAACAGAATTACTAAATAAGGTTTGTAAGAAAAGTCCTGTAGAGAAGTGTCTACTTTAAAGATTATAGGAAAGTGAAATGAGATTTAGAAAACAAACAAACAAACAAACAAACAAAAAGAAACTAGTACAGGGTTGCTCTGACTCTAGAAGACAAAGAGTTCCCCTTCTTATTTTATTTTATTTTTTTAATCCTCGTTCAAGGACACTTTTCCATTTTTTGTTCAGATACAGTGGGAGGGAGAGAGAGAGAGAGAGAGAGAGAGAAACATCAATGTGAAAGGGACACATCGAGTGGCTGCCTCCGCGCAACCCCTACCAGGGCCGGGGACAAATTGCAACCGAGGTACGTGCCCTTAGCGGGAACTGAACCGGGGTCTCTCTGGACCGCAGGCCGATGCTCCAACCACTGAGCCAAAGTGGCCAGGGCCCCTTCTCCTTATTAATAGTTTAGGAGAAACTAAAATTACCATAAAAAGGGGAAGTTTATTATTCCATGTACGAGCCCGTGTAATTCTTCCAGTAAAGAAACCAAATGGAGCCCTAACTGGTTTGGCTTAGCAGTTAGGTTAGAGTGTTGGCCTGCAGACCAAAGGGTTGTGGGTTTGATTCCTGGGTCAAGGGCACATACTGGTTTGCAAGTTCAATCCCTGGCCCCAATAGGGGTTGTGCAGGAGGCAACTAATTGATGTGTCTCTCTCGTGTTGATGTTTCTCTCTCTCCCTCCCTCCCTCCATCCTTCCCTTCCATTCTACCTAAAACTCTAATGGAAAAATAGCCTCTGTGAGGATTAACAAAAGAGAGAGAGAGAGAGTGAGAGAGAGAGAGAGAGAGAAACCAAATTAAAAAAAATGGAGATTTGTACAAAAATATTGGAGTTATAAATAAGCTAGGTATTCCCAGACATCATGTGGTCCTGTTACTGGCATAATAACCTGGTTATTATTCAACATGAAAGGAGTAGAGGGAAAATTAGCTAATTTAATTCTCCAGGTCTATTCCCTGAGTAGGGGGAGGGTCTGGACAAAGGCAGTCTAGATGCATGCACAGTAAGTCTGAGTGACATGGGAGGTGCCCACCTGTTTGTCACACCTGGGAACAAGTCAGTAGCCAAAATAGGTGTGGCCACTGCAAGTATGCAAACCTGAATATTTTATCTCCTACACAAAGGAGCTCTTTTGCTCTCTCTCTTGCTGCCCTCCTGGGACTGCTTGTGGGGCTCCCACACCCTGCATTTCTCCATGTAGCCCAAAGCTCTGTGGGACCCACATGATGGACGAATGGATCGAATCTGGACTGATCCTAATCTGGATACAGCAGCACCAGCTTATTTCTGGCATTGCTAAACCCATGGCTGCCCCTCTTCCAGGACTGGACTGAGGGACATGGGACTTTACAACCCCAGAAGTGTAATTCCACACCATTTTCTTTCTTCTCTTTTTTTATCTTCACCTAAGGACATTTTTTGATATTTTGTTCAGATAGAGTGGGAGGGGGAGAGAGAGAGAGAGAAACATCGATGTGAAAGGGACATGTCGAGTGGTTGCCACCCGCGCGACCCAACCAGGGCTGGGGACAAACCGCAACCGAGGTACGCGCCCTTAGTGGGAACCAAACCCGGGTCTCTCCAGACCTCAGGCCAATGCTCCAACCACTGAGCCAAACCGGCCAGGGCGAAAGTTCATTTTCTAAAGATGTCATAAGAGCCTCCTGCCTGTGAGTGTCGGAGGCATCTGGCCCTTTTTTCTCTCTGGCGACAATTCCAAATCCACATACCTTATTATCAGCTATTCCTGTGACTGCCAATATTTTTCAGTAATAGATTAATGTAGTGGCTTTTTCAGCATTTCAGTAGAAAAAGACAGTCAATACTTTGCTTTCCCCTGGGAAGATTACAAGTTTACTTGGACATTAATGTCCCAGGGATATATGAGGAGTCCCAACCTATTGTCTTAAATACCAAAAGTAGATTTAAATAATGTTACATTTCCCAGATATTTCACTCTAAATTCTCTATGTGGGTGATTTAGTTTTATGCTCTAGAAAATCACCAAACTCACAATAGGACACAACATACCTATTACAACAGCTAGCTATAAAGGGACATAATTGAAGGTTCTTATTTACCTGAATAAAATCTGTTCCACAAACCTAATTATTTTCATTTGGGCTTGTCAACTGTCCAGAGATCAAATAGCTAATATTTACACTGATAGCTATGTCTTTGGTGTAGCTCACAGCTTTAGAATGTTGTGGAAGCAGCAAGGCTTCCTAATTTTCTAAGGCAACCCATAAAGAATGGAAAATAGGGATGTGAGGGCAATCTGGCTGTGACATCTGTCACCCCACTGATCACCAGGGTTGATTCAGCTGATCTGGATGGCTAGGTAGGTGTCCCCCTCCTCCCTCAACTGATCCATATGCATCCCTCCCCAAGCTGCGCGCTCAGGCTCGGTAGAGGAGGACCGGTCTTTGGTCAAGGGTATACGAGTAGCTGCGCTCCCCTGCTTGAACCTCCAAACAAGCTCTCAAGAATGGAAAATAGGTTGAAGAATTATTAGATGTCACTAAAAAAATTTAAACAATTGGAAATTATAAAAATTCCAGGACATTCTAAAGCTGCCACCATGAATGCAAAGGGAAATTATTTAGCCAATGCTACAGCTAGACCTGTTTTACCATTCCCAAGGGATATGGGCAGAGGTTTCATATACCCAAGCTTTTCTGGCTTTCAGAGGCAACCCTAAGCTATGTGCTGTCTGCAAATTAGAAAAACATACCCAAATGGGAAGAAACACTCCAAGAATGGGTGAATAGATTTGTTACTCTGTTGTTGAGGCATAGGAAGGAAGGAAGGAAGGAAGGAAGGAAGGAAGGAAGGAAGGAAGGAAGGAAGGAAGGAAGGAAGGAAGGAAGGAGAAAGAAAGAAAGGGAGAAAGAAAGAAAGAAAGAAAGAAAGAAAGAAAGAAAGAAAGAAAGAAAGAAAGAGAGAGAGAAAGAAAGAAAGAAACTGTCCTTGCTTTACAATGCAGTCTGTACAGGGCAGAGATGTGGTTCCAGAAACAATCCAAAGCCCATCAAACCTTATCTGGGCCTTCTTTTAAAATGCAAGTTTCTGGGAGGTAATCATTATTCAAAGGATAAAACTTTAGCCATCTAAGCAAGTCAATTTAACTTATTGAAGCTATTCCTTTCTAAATTAATAAATTTGATAAAAGTAATTAAATACCTAGATTTTTTGAAATAATATGAAATACTAAAACACTGCTAACAAGTCTTGGGTTTGCCTGCTTTTGGCTTTTGTTTTGTAAAAGGGCTGTGGAATAACTCTGGAGCTGTTAATAAATGTCTAGTACTTTGTTAGAGAGGTATGTTTTTTATTTTTTTAATTTATTTTTATTTTTTAATCCTCACCTGAGGATACTTTTCTATTTATCTTCAGGTAGAGTAGGAGGGAGGGAGAAACATCGATGTGAGAGACACATCAATTGGTTGCCTCCAGCACGACCCCAACCAGGGCCAGGGATCAAACTGCAACTGAGGTACATGCCCTTGACCAGAATCAAATCCGTGACTCTTTGGTCTTTGGGCTAATGCTCTAACTGCTGAGCCAAAACAGTCAGGGCTGGAGATTCTTTTTTTTTTTTTAAATATATATATATATATATATATATATATATATATATTTTTTTTAATCCTTACCTGAGGATATTTTTCTATTTATCTTCAGATAGAATGGGAGGGAGGGAAGGAGAGAGAAACACCGATGTGAGAGGGACACATGGACTGGTTGCTTCCCACGTGACCCTGACCAGGGCCGGGGACAAACTGCAACCGAGGTATGTGCCCCTGACCAGAATCGAACCTGCAACTCATTGGTCTGCAGGCCCATGCTCTAACCACGGAGCACTGGCCAGGGCTTAAATATGTTTTTATTGATTTTTTTTTTGAGAGAGAGAGAGGAAGGGAGAGAAATAGAAACATTAATGTGAGAGAGAAGCATGGATTGGCTGCCTCCTGCGCACCCCCTAATGGGGATCAGACCCAAAACCCGGGCATGTGCCCTGATCGGGAATCGAACCAGAACATCTCAGTCCATGGGCTGACGCTCAATCCGCTGAGCCACACCAGCCGGGAGAAGCACATTTGTTTTTCTCTCCCTAAGAGTACCCTCCTATTAAACAGACTATTAAATCTAGTTCTGTTCTGGCTTGGTTATTTGCATAAACACAAGAGTATCAATAGATCAAATTGATCATACAGGCTTTTTCTAATTTGTTTGGCTGAATTGTCAGTTATTTATAAGGAATGTTTATTTAGATTGAGCTCTAGTGAAGAGTCAGCCACTTAGC